CATTTTGTTTTAGTCACAACACCTTACTAACTCGACACCATTCGTGTAGTCCTTACACCACACTCATACACCCTCTCAATAAACAACGGTCCACTAAGACCACACACGCACACCCTCATTGCTTCCCGGGCCCCGCTCCAACAACAAACATAATCCTCGTATCGACCGTTACATGGCCTTGTGCACTACCACACCACAACATCAAATATACACCACTATTTATGCGACAACTGTAACACCCATAAAAAAATTGTTTTAATTTGGTAATTAATGAATGTAATTTTTTATTATTTTATTTTATTTTATTTGGAGTAAAAATGAAGTGAAAATTGAATGATGATGAAATTAAAAATAATTTTGGAAAAAATGGGTAAAAATTTGGGTTCTAAGAGTATTTTTGAAAGAAAAATTAGAAACCAGGGGTCAAAGTATAATTTGGAGAAGTTCTGCCACGTGGGACGTCCAGTCAACTGCCCCGACGAATCAGGACGCGCCACATGGTAACAGGCGCTGACGCGGTGCCACGCGGGAAGTGACGCGGGTAATTTGCATGCCCTCGATCGAACGACCCAGGTCCGTTTTCCCGCACACGGACGGCCTAGATGCGCTCCCTCCCAAACGCGATCGAACGGCCATATTCAAATGCACTCGGACGGCCCAGAGTGAATCACGATGAACGATCCAGATTGGATCGCGATAAACGGTCTAAATTTACCCCCTATTTAATCGCGATCAGACAGTCCAGATCAAATGCAATGGACGGCTCAGATCACAAACGAACGAATATAAATAACCCCCATTCACACCAAACCCTAACCCTAGCCGCTAGAACCCGTTGGCGGAGAAGACGACCCAGCCGCCGGGGAGTCAATCGCCGCCACCCATCGCTATACCGGAACCCTTTTCGATCGTCAAAAAAGGTAAAAAAAAAAATTTTTGCACGAAATTCAATTTTAAGCTCACTCATGGCCAAATCAGAGCGAAAAGACAGGATAATTAGCAAGAAAACGCTAGTGAAGCCCGGCGCCGCTACCACAGGAAATTTCACAAAACGTCTCCAATGAGGCCATTTTCGATTCCCAATTCGTATAATTTTTCTGCCGTTGTGATCATCGTTTTCTTCTCTACAGGTTGATCGAAACAAAACATCCAACTGTAACGTGAGCCGGAGGAGCCGCCGCATCGAAGAGCCCCGCCACTAGTGAGTTTCAGTTTTTCGTATTTGTTCGATCAACCGAACCCCTTTAATGTATTTTTTCACAGGGATCGATGCAAAATCTGTAACACCCAAATAATTTTAAATTATTATTATTATTATTATTATTATTTATTTTATTTTGTTTATTTTAATTTAATAATAAAAATAATAATAATTATAAAATTAGGTAAAAATATTATTTGGATTTAATTGAAATTGATTTTGGGAAAAATGGGTGAAAATTAGGATTCTGAGGGTATATTTGAAAAGAAAATCAGAAACCAGGGGTCAAAACGTAATTTAGAAAAATTGTGCCCCGTCAGCGCCACGTCAGCAGCCACGTCAGCGGCCCAGTCAGCAACCCTGGCCAACCAGGACCTGTCGCGTGGCAAGACCACGTCGACCGGGGAACGAGCCAAGTGGGCGATCCGCGTGCGCGTAATCGGACGGCCCAGATGCGTCCCGGCGCGCACAGACGGCCCAGATGCGTCCCGGTGCGCACAGACGGCCCAGATACAATCGCACGGACGGGCCAGATGCACGCGCACGGACGACCCAGATTCAATCGCGCACGGACGGCCCAGATTTAATCAAAACGGACGGCTGTGATCAAAAGGCAAAAGGGTATAAATAGAACCCCCACACCTGACCACAAAAACCCTAGCCGCCTGCCCTCACTTGAGAAGACGAACCAGACGCCGGAGGAGCCGGTCGCCGCCACCCGACGCCGCACCGGGAGTTTTTCGACCGCCGATCGAGGTAAATTTCATACCCCCGGCTCGTTTTTCCACGCTGAGTTCCCCTGTGGCCAAATCGGGAGCCAAAATTCCAGCCAAACGGCTGAAAATACGGTCGAAACCCAGCGGCGCCGCCGCGCCCCTCCTCAGTTTTTGCCTCCGATGAGGCCCTTCCCAGCCTCCGTTTGATACAATTTTTATATCACCGTGATCATCATTCTTTTTTATACAGGTTGATCGGAGCCGAATCACCAAAACACGAACCTCGCCGGAGAGCCGCCGCACCCGAGAGCACCGCTGCCGGTAAATTTCAGTTTTTCGTAATTTTTTGGCCCCCTGAGGGCCCTAGGGTTGTTTTATCGTAGGGACCGATGCAAGTGTGGCCGAATTCGGCCGAAAATGGCCAACCCGAAGCGAATCGCCGCCGCAAGCGGCGACGCCGTCGCTGGAGCACGGCGGAGCCGCCGAGCCGGAATTGCGATATTGGCCGAAAGGGGCCCTGGGTCTAATTTGGGATTTTTTGGGACACATGCAAGTACTAGTAGTGCGTTTCAGTTCCCCGGAAAAAATTCAGGAAAAATTAAGGACAGCCTGTAGGCGCACTATGGAGCCGTGTTCGGACCCCGAAACAAATAAGGACCCCTCACCCTATTTTCTATCACGGTATTAAAGTTCAATAAATAATAAAACGGTGTTTCATGAATCAGTAGATGTGTGAAATTGTTTAAGGTTGCTAATGGAGCCCGAGTCTAGTGTATTTGTCGGTCAGTTGTTGTTTGTCCTATTTTACAGTTTTAAATGCAGTATGATGCCTGATGTTTTCATTTCATAGTTTCGTGTGCATAAATCACTGTTTTATTGATTATGGGTTGAATGACTGAGAACCCGATGTTGTATGTTGGCTTGTTTGGCATGAATTACTGGTTGCTTGTTTGTGTGTGATTTGATGATGCTGACTGAGGAAAAGGGGAATGAAAGGTTATGTAAATTGATAATTGTATAATGTGGTCAGCCTGATTAGATATCTTGGGAGATGGTGGACGGACCGGGTCCGTAGGGAACCCTACCAGGATTGTGGTCTCTCATACCGGACGGGGTATGGAGACCTTATGTGTTTTGGCGCCCATACCGGACGGGGTATGGGGACTGCCTGTTTCACTCTCTTACCGGACGGGGTATTGAGGTTTATAGTTTTGGCGCCCATACCGCACGGGGTATGGGGACGACCCTGGAATCTGATTACAAGTGTTAAAAGTTCACGGGTAGCAGGACCCCTATGGATCCCCATGGATACTAGTAGGCTGGTAAATAAGGAAAAATATGTTGTGTCATGATTAAGATGCAAAAGGCGTGATAAGTATTATGTTATACAGTTCCTATGATTTCATGATGATGATAATGCTATTGCTTTCGTATATTGTTTTATGAATTTCACCGAGGTAAGTGGATAGTAAAAGATTTTATTATTGATAAAAGAATTTGTTATAAACTATGCTCCATAGGTCTTTTTGTGTTTTCTACCCACCTTTACCTCCGTGTCGGTGAGATAGTGTGATGTCTTTACTGGGCTGGTGTAGCTCATTCCTTATTTAATCATTTCAGATCAGGAAGACATTGTTCCCGAGCCTGTTCCGCAGGAAGACAGGGAAGGGGACGCCTGAAGACTCTGTAGTCATATTTATAGCTTTTATTTTCGAGTTTCTCTTTTAG